GAGAGTCGAAAAATATATTAAAAGTGCACAAGGTTGCGGAGCGGTTGGGCATCGAGAGTGAGTAGTCAGGGGGGGCTCGTTATGTAGCAGAGGTTAGTGTTGTTGGTTTCGTATTTCCAGTACTAGTAATGTGGAGGACCATGATAGGTCTGGGTGGCGCGAGCAACTGACGGCAATATAAATGCAAACCAAAGCAACCCGGGGCCTGGCCTTGCTGAGGCGGCTGTGACGCATCAGACAGCCTCTATGTGGCGGCGTTCTTGTTGGCGACGTCCTTGAGAGCTCACGGGCGGCTCAGTGCTTGCAGGGTACGTCCGGCCCGCAGGCCCTCTGACCCAGCCCCGGGTCACCCCAGATTGTTGGGGTGGGGCGACCCCGCCGCGAGGGGCCGGTCTCTGCTGGCTCCCCTGGCGGGCGGGCGGGCCCCGACCTCAAGGCGCCCGCGGCTCCCGGCCCGGGCGCGCCTTCAGCCCCCTGGCGGCAGCGGCCTCACCCAGGCTCGCCCTCCCTGCCCCCCGACGGGAAACAGCTGGGCTTGCGGGCTTGCTGGGTGGTGCCCGTGGGCGGGAGCAGGGCCTCCAGGGAACCTGCGGCTCGCCACGCAGCGCCCCGAACGAGCTTCTGTGGACGGTGACGCTCGCGGAGGGGCCCCGGGGGGAGCAAGCGGAGGAGGTGCCGGTGAACCGCATCTTGTGCCACCCCCAGGTGAGAGGGCAGCCCCCCGGCCCTCGGAGCTGGAACAGCATCTCCACCGCACACCTCGTTGACCCCGCGTCGCCCCTCTCTCCCTAGTTTGACCTGCGGACCTTTCATAACGACCTTGCCCTGGTGCAACTGTGGACGCCCGTGAGCCCGGGAGGGGCGGCGCGCCCCGTGTGTCTGCCCCAGGGACCCCGGGAGCCCGCCGCCGGCACCGCCTGCGCCATCGCAGGCTGGGGGGCCCTTTTCGAAGGTACCGGCAGGGCTGGACCCGCGCGGGTTTGCCCTGGAAGAATAGGGTCTGGGGTGATGAAGTCTGGGGGAGTGTGCACCGAATCAGACCTACCCTAGCTGTCTTCGCAAAACACTGCCCGATCTTGCAAAGGGGGAGGAATCAAGTGGGGTGCAATGGGAGGGGGGACCCTCAAAACGGAGCCCCTGCCCTCCAGGCTTGAGCCCACTCCACCGCTTCCCTGTAGATGGGCCTGCGGCTGAGGCGCTGAGGGAGGCCCGCGTGCCCCTGCTCAGCGCAGACACGTGCCGAAGGGCCCTGGGGCCCGGGCTTCGCCCCAGCACCATGCTCTGTGCCGGTTACCTGGCCGGGGGCATCGACTCATGCCAGGTACGAGCCCCAGTTGATGGGAGGGCGCCTGGTGGGCCGCTCTCTACTTGCCTTCTGCGGTCAGGCTGTCACTAATTTCTCTGAGCTTCTATGTCCTCCTGGCTGAGATGGGTACAAGAGTGGTGACCCCAGTGGAGTCAGAGCTGCCTAATCCTGCGGGTGTAAGGCTGCCAA